GCTCCCACTTCACTACGATGTGGAACAGTGTGCGTGTCGTATGGAGATCCTTCACGGTTGTGGAGTTCTTCTGCAGATGGACCAAGTAGAGCTGGTCACGATACTTGATGGCCTTGCTGCGGGTCATCTTGTGGATTTCGACCGGCTTGAGGCCGTTCGCCTTAATCTCGTCCATTAAGGTGGTGGTGTCCATGTCGTGGAGCCCGCGCAGCACCACTTTCAGCGGCTTGGTGGCCTCGACGTCGTGGGAGAAGTACTCCAGCTTCATCCTGTCCAAGAGGGCCTGGACTGCGTTGTAGTGATTTTCGGCCGAGACCATCAGTTTGTAGCCTTCCGTGCACCGTTGAATGGTGCAGCGAAGGCCCTGCTTAATGTAGAAATCCAGCTGCTCCCATAGCCCGGGAGGGAAGCCCTTCACATAGAAGGGTGGCAACTTAACTTTTTTAGGCACCGTCTCAGGGTCCGACTGCGGCTGGGCTCCGTTCTGCAGGGCGGAGAACGGATTGTTGCTCAGCAGCTTTTTTGCTGCCGATGCGGTGGCGCTGATGTCTTCAGGTCTGGGTCGTTTAGTTCCGGGAGGCCCCGGCTGCGGGTCCGCAACGCCTGTCGGGACGGGCAATGGGGTTTTCTTCTGCTTCTTCTGAGCTGGCTCGGTGGTCGCGCCGTCTCCTGGGAGAGTCTGTTTTCCCGGTAAGCCGGCACTCGCGTTACCGCGCGATTTCTTACCCATGGCTGGGTCAGCGAGAGCGTCACTATACAACGCGGAGCTAATTCGACTTGCGAACAAACGAACGAAACTAGAGAGAATTCAAATCGACTGAACTGCTCAACAGTCTGGCAGCGAATGACACTGAATAAAAAAAAAAAAAAAAAAAAAAAAAAACGACTTCCATTCTTTTTTATAACATGCGTTTGCTGATTTCAACCAATCAGAAACGATGAAAGAATAAGAACACAACAACTAACAAGAAGAATTTAACCCTCGAGTAGGTTTAAAAAAGCCGAAATTTGAAATTTTTGTTCACTTTCGTTTCAACCTTCACCGACGACACATCTACCATCACATACAATGACTGGACGCGGCAAGCGAGGAAAAGGACTCGGCAAGGAGGAGCCAAGCGTCATCGAAAAGTGTTGCGTGATAACATTCAAGGCATTACTAAACCTGCCAGCCGCCGTCTGGCTCGTCGTGGTGGAGTCAAGCGAATTTCCGGGCTTATTTACGAGGAAACCAGAGGCGTGTTGAAGGTGGTTTTGGAGAACGTTATTCGAGATGCTGTTACTTACACAGAACACGCTAAGAGGAAGACCGTCACCGCAATGGATGTCGTTTACGCTCTGAAGTGACAGGGACGCACTCTGTACGGTTTCGGAGGATAAATTAGCATCATCGGCTCAGACAGAAAAACGGCCCTGTTCAGGGCCACCAAATGAATTAAAAAGGTGTTTTTGATTAACTTTCTTGTCAGGATTTGAAAGGTGGTAGGGATGTGATCGAATGATGATTTTTTTCAGTTTAAGGTTGTTAGATTTAACCTACACAGAGAAAAAAAATTACCCTAAATTTAAGTTCTTTTTACTTAATTTTGGGTAATTTTGAGTTTTGCATCCTACTCTCACTTTTTGTTCACGAAATTTAAAAAAAAAAGCGAAAAGAGGTCAGGTTTCGACCAATAGCAGATAGATTTTAATTCTAAACAAGCCAAACGATTGGAAATTTATCTACCAATCTGCTAAAATGAACACTTAGTTAATTTTCAATAGGTCACTATTGAAAAATACCAAATGTCCAGCAATGGTGATCAAAATTATCACCGAATGACTGAAAACAGCGCATTCCCTAAAACAGACTTAAAAATCGAATTCGATGCGGTCCCACTGAACGGTGCTCATTCAATCACCGTAAGTGGTGGTGTCCAGTCCAGCAGCAGCAGTAGTAGTAGCAGCAGCAGCAGCAGGAGTGCTTTCAACAACAACAACAACGAAAGGTTGCCTGCAAGCAGCGAGCTGCAGAGCTCCAATCATAGAGAAGGAGGAAGAAGTCCCACCGCTAGGCTAGGATCGGAATCAGTAGCTCGTCGTGCTCAGCTCAGCATTACTCAACCAGTATACAAAACGGTTCTTTTCAGGACCACCATACATTTGGTAAGAGTTTTATTTGGACATTTGTCAAGGTCATCAGTTGCCGCAAGCAGCTAGCTATCAAGGCTCAACCTGGTCTCTATAGAAGGTGTGGAATTGTAGGCCCGAATGTTTTGGTGAGATTAATCATCGTCCGACCATTTTCCAGAACACGCTGGTAGGAAGTGTTAAAAATCCATATAGAATTTGAGAGAAGTGGGAATTATTCGCTTTGGGTGTATATTCAGTTACCAAAAAGCCAATAAAATCAAATTTGTGAGAAAATTAGCTCTCACGAGTTCAATCTTTCGAAGTCCCTCCATTTTTACATATTCTGCACAAATGATACTGTCCGCCTCGCCCCATTCATATATTTCGGAAGGAAATCCTGTGAGGGGTGAATTGAATACACTTTAATTCAAAATGCACAAAACTTAAAAACTCATATATAACAAAAATAAAAAATAAAATACACCTTTTAAAGTCGGGTAGATGAATCGAAAATACTCAAGTTGACAGTCCCTTGGATTCTCTTCATCAACTTTCTCTTTGAAATAAATACTACAAATTTGATACGCTTACAAATAAAAAACGGAAAGAGTTAAGATAATTGATGATTGATCAATTAAAAGAACTAAATGTTCACATTTGTTCCGTCCACTAGCGGTCCTACGTCAAGCTTCCGTTCGTGCCCCTAGGCACAGACCCTTCTACTTTTTTTCATTTTAAACAAATATAGCGCTGAAAAACGTGGTTTTTAGACATAAGTCGACGGCAAATTATTGCCTCAAGCTGAACTGATGATAATATCGATGATTAAGGCAGTGTGGTCGACAATATTCAAAATAATCATTTTGACCAAAATTTCGATGATTATTTTGCTTTTGAGGATCACTTCTGATTTTGACAATTTTGGGTTTGATAATCGAGCACTGGTGAATATCAACAAACGCGTATTCGTTGATGTATAATAAACTCATTTGTTCATTTCGCTCGTTTCGTAACTACGAAGATGTTCAAAACAAACGCAATTCATCGACACTGGGTTGAAGCGATACTCCTTGCATGTGATGGTAAATGATAAAAACAGACACTGTTTGTCATAGGGTAAATTATGGCTTCGGCACCCATTGACTATTTTCGGCAACCGAAATTGAAACGTTAATTCCACTGTATTTTCCCATCAAAACTCTTCGCTGAATGTATTAAGCCGATTCCTTACCTTTTCAGCTTCAATCTGATTACATTTTTACGACTGTGCAATCCTGTTATGCCATATTTTTCTTTAAATTAAACATACACACTACAAAATACGGCTGATTTCGAGTTGCCGATAATAGAACAGCTGGTTAACACGCAGTTCAAATGGAAAGGGTGCCGAAGAAAAAGAGACTGCCGACAATAGTCACACTCACCTGAGAAGTTTGGATCGTTGTAAAAACATGTTCAACCCGTTTTGATCAATTCTGTCGATTGGAATTGGTAGAACAGCAAGCAGCAGATAAATGTCAACAAACAAACCTGTCATGTATGTGTGTGACGCTGAGAAATCGCTAATAGAAGTTCGGACGCTGCTTAGATTGACGAGAATACGTAAATTCCCCTATAGAAACATTTTTATTTTATTTTGTGTGGTGGATGGGTTTCGGGCGTTCACGGGCATATGGGTGATAATATTAAGTTTACGTTAGAATAACGTTGAAAAATTGAGAAATGTTGCGCTTCAGTTTGAAAAGCACTTCACTTCGCAACCGATGAACCATTCTGACGGCCCACGTTACCATGCAGGCGCGGTGTGATGGCAGGGTCCAATATTGGACAGTTTGATGTTTATAAAGTACCATCAGGTAAAACTGTGTTTTGAGATTTATGTGGTACATGCACAAAATTGTACAAAATTTGACCCATATCATTTACGCATTACTATTTTACAGCAGATGTGATATTACTTTTTCATTACTATTCTGTATTATTACTGAATAAATTAGTTATTTGTTTGATAGGCCGAAGTGAGGGGATAGGCTGACATTTCATCCAGTAATTCTATATCTTTTTGAAAACATCATCCCTCTTTTTGATTTTTTAGGGGAATGTCTGGCTCTGAAAGATGTTCCAAACAAGTGTCAAAAAATCTATTTTATTTTGCACGGACTTCGAAAACCGCAAAACGAACGTTTGTCCCACTTTACTCTAGCAGATAGTACATAATTTAGTGAAGCTAAGAATATCTTCTATTATGGTCGATTTCTTCACTTGCGCATAAGCCAAAAACTAGGTTTGTTTACATGGGTAAGCCTGATTTAGGATTTTAGCGAAGGTATAGAATTTGACCTTTAATGTTTAGAGCACTACCCGAGAAAAAATAATTATAATAAAACAACGAAATTACAATGATATTTACTGTTGAATTTCGTGTACATTAAAATTTATTGCTAAATTATTGTACGGAGAAAAATAAATTTCGTTTTTTAACGAAACAATGCTCAAACAACGTTAATTAGTGTGATGAGATCAAATTTGTTCGAGAAAAATCACTTTTTTTTTATTGTTAAGATGCTTAACAACCCCCCTTTTTTACTGTAAATGTCTCAAATACCATGATTTTCATTGTTGTGAACCATGAATTTCGTTGTGATTTTATGGTAATGGACAAAAATGTCCAATGTTTTGACAGTCAATATCATGGATACAATGACAATGCAAATCATTGTATTTTTATTAGATTTTTTCAACGGCTAGCGCTAAGCAGCTTAGAAGCATTGAGCTTCACTAATTAGCGATCAGTCAATTATAGAAATTTTACACTCCACTTCTATATGTCTCCAAATCAATCAACTGATAATCTAATACCGTATCAATTAAATTTCATCCCGTTTCAGTTACGCAACGAATAATGAGTTCAATGGAGTGAATGCATCGTTCAAGCTTTTTCCCTGGGAAGATGCTCCTCGAAATCCACCTGAAAAGAAACACTGGGTTCCTGATAGTGGTAAGCGATTCCAGAATTGTTAGTTTATTCTGCTCACTCATGATGATTGTTTTTTTTTTGTATATTCCAGGAGTTTTGACCTACGTTGGACCCAGTGGAGATGGAAAGGGTCGACCAGACTGGGCGGCCAAGTACCTCAGCAAGTAGGATTCCCTACCGGCTTGTACATTCATCATGCAGCGCTGTACAGTTGTTTTGGTTTTAGGTTAAGAACCCATATATGTTCTCTATACTTAGACTTATGTTACCTTTAATGTTGAAGTAGCGAGATGAGAAAGGAAAATCAAAAATACAAATCTGTGATAGATCAGTGCATCGCTTAGATTGGCCATATTGTCAAATGGTCGCAGACACACGTAAACCTATACGGCTGGGCGAGATAGTTTCGTCAGTTTATGCCTGATTAATTTCTGATGTAGTTTAATTGAAAAAAGCTGGAAATAAAAATGCAATATCAATGTTTTCAAAATCGGATTATAAACTTGCTTTATCCTTGTATGATTGGAAGTAATTGAAACGAAGGTCGTTGACAGTTGAAACTCGATTCCGACGTTGTGCCAGGTTCACCGCTGATCTAGAATTGAAGTTACTGTTTGTGGTTTTTACCGGAGCCGCAACCGGTTTATCTTTAGCATGCAGCCAAGTAGGTATCAAAATATGCTTTAGCAGTAAATTGCGCATTGCAAGTGGATGATAGATAAAATGGAAATCCGAAAATAGTTTTCGCGGGCGTGTTTTGAAGGCTGGTATGGAGGCTCGTTCGCAGAGAGAAAGTTGAACGCCTTAGTCAGGAACGTCATAATGAAGTATTAATTTTGATGGGGAAAATTCTTGATTCAGTTGGTATAAAAGTCGCGAAATTGTTATCCTTAGCATCATTCGTTGAGAACACGTTCTGCAGTAAAGATTGTTTCAAAATGGCATTCAAAGTAAAAAAATTAAGTTAATTTCTATAGCAATGTGATATTTAATTCCAGTGCTCTTATTTCCAGTTTGTTCTGTTGGCCACGTTGGTCGCTGCTGCCAGCGCTGGATTGATTCCTGAGCATGGATATGCTTCCTCTCACCAGACCATTCAGCATCATCATTCCACTCCGGTTCATCATGTGGCAGCTGTTCATGCCGCTCCAGTTCATCATGTGGCCGCCATTCATGCTGCTCCTGTCCATCACACCATCGTGAAGGAAGTTGAGCATCACGCCCCAGCCAACTATGAATTCTCTTACTCTGTCCATGATGAACACACTGGAGATATAAAGAGCCAGCACGAGACCCGCCACGGAGATGAAGTGCACGGACAGTACAGTCTGCTGGATTCCGATGGCCACCAGCGCATCGTTGACTATCACGCCGATCATCACTCCGGATTCAATGCTGTTGTCCGTCGTGAGCCGACTCATGTCAAGATTGCCCAGCCAGTGCACAAGGTCATCGCCCAGCCAGTTCATGTTGCTGCTTTTTCGCATCACCACGCTGCCCCAGTCCATCATGTTGCTCCAGTTGCCCATTACTCGCACATTGCCGCTCCAGTTGCACACAGTGCCGTTCAGACCCATCATGGTCTGTCTCATTATAGCTCTGGACATCATTACTAGGAGATGCTTCTCGTGTAAAGCAATTGATCTGACATCTTCTTATGTAATGAAATAGGCAATTGATTCTGCTCTCTTATAGTACAAATATATTGGTTTGTCTTAGTTAAACATTTACTTATTATTTACATTGCTCCACTCTTTCGTAGATCAAATAGAAAGTAGCTGAATGCGAGTATCATTAAAAACATGACAAGTGGTAAGTTTGGTCACTTGCATAGTTTGATTAGGAAATTTGAAGCCGTTTTGAAAAATGTATGGTTCTATATTAATCGCAACCGGAAACTGTTTGAATGATACGCTAACACCACTCCAACTAACATTACCTCAAATAATCTTTTACTCCGAATCGTCCGTTTCTCCGAATAGCATGTTTCGTCGAAGATCGTATAATCGTGGAAATACTCTATATTAGTCGAAGTGCACCGAAGTTAATGCTATAATAGGGGAAGACGAGGTAAGACCGCCATCCTAAGCAATAAAATTAGTAGCTAAGATGTGCAAGAATCTTCAATTTTTGTAATCCCACACGTAAATAACCGATGACTTATGTACTACCTACCATTATGTAGTGTTTTGTTTAATGTATTTAAAAAAATCATTGCTTTTTGGAATGATAAATAAATACTCTTTCTCATACAGGCGAGTAGGGTTGGGAGTAGTTGTTTTACCGTTACAGAAAACCAGTAAAAACATCCAATTATAAAATACTGAAATGTCTGGTTTTATGTAAAAAAAAACCGGTAATTCCAAAATTTATTTTTGTTAAGAAATTTGATGAAACGATAGGGTAATTTACCAATTGTTGCACAGCTAAGCACTTACTTCATGTTATTTTGCATTTTTAAGAGATTGAAATCGTTTTTGAAGTAAGAATTCCTCGAGATACCTTTGAATGTGATTATTGAAGCATTTACAGCGCTCATCAGCAATTTGTATTGGTAAAATAATTTTGTATAGTAAAACTTTTGAATGTCCCTTAGGGTCCAATTATTGCAAGCATAATTTTCTTATTATTGCATACCCATAAAACATGGCTATTTGCATCTTGGAACGACCTTTTTCAGCAAGAATAAACATTTAGTGATTCTGTTAGGTGATTAAACGTAAGTTTTCGGAACGTTTAATTGCGATATAAGCTATTTTATTGATTTAATAGATGCGGTCAACAATCGGAGTAAAATTTACGTGGCAGCTGATTTATATGAAACGATGGATATCTTTAGGCGTTATTGTCATATACAATAATCCAAGGACCAAGAGTCCAAATGTGATCCAATTGTTGACTATGAATATTTTTTCTGAAAGGAATAACCAACTCTTTCATGCAATGTAATATTTAATTTAATTGTTTTGAGCTTGTAATAGCTTAGTTTACAACTGAAGGAATATTATGAAATCGCCTTGAATCATATGAACAATGCCAAAAATATTTAAAACACGTTTTATCACAATATTCATAATACTGAGCATGACATAATAATTAGCAAATTGCCATTTTTGTGCTCTCAAACGCTTTCAATATCACGCATGGTATTGGAGCAAAATATCATGCTTGATATTGACTTTACAAGCTCCTTTGATATTGCGAGACTATTGAAAACCAGAGTCGATGTTATAATAAGAGTCCCGCCAAGAGAAACAATCAGCACTGTTTGTAATTTTTTTTCGTCAGAGTAAACGGCAACCAGATTTTTTGCGTTAACATCGGATGACTTTCATTCATAAGTGAAAAGTTTCATATCGATAACGGAGCTTCTGGGAGACAAAAACAATTGTACTAAATAAAGCGAAGAAATGTTTTTCATCTAAAATTACTTAAATATTGTCAGTAATGAATGCAATAATTGTGGTTCACTGACTGTGGGAACAACAATGTTTATTTACTTTGCTTGTTTGGTACCCCGCTTGACAGTTTGATTGGTACTTCTGGCTTCACTTAGGCGAAACTCTTATTATAACATTGACTCTGTTCACAACGTGTAAAGGTGAAGCTGAGAGTTGAATCGGCGCAAAAATGATTCCATTGCACCCCTTTTTCTTAGAAAGAGAAGGTATAATAATGCTACCTCTTTTTCTCTTAACCGTTGGCAGACACGAAGCGACTGCTGCCAGCTGTTATGGAAGTTTCGGTTGCGTTCGGGTGTAAAACAAAAATCATGAAACTAAATCTTACCACAGTTTGGTGAGATTTGCAGCAGGTGAGTTTTGTTAGCTAGATATTCACCAGGACGGTGAAGAATGTTTTGAAGAATGCCCTTCAGAAAATTGTGCGTGGTGCTTGACGGAGTTGACCAATGATGCCAGGAATGTGATATATTTTGTCTATTTTAATTTAGATTTTATTCGGAGCTTCGACCGCAGTCTACCAGCTTGTACATCATTTTTGCTCAACACAATAAAAACAACCATAAACAAACAACAATATCCATCGCTTAAAACACGTAGTGCACTCAACTTTCCTTTCGCAAATATAAACAATTAATAACGCCATTGACGTCAACATTGATTCCGGCATCACTGCCAGCCTGATTGATGCGATCCCTCTATCCTTTTTATTCCACGATTGCTACTTTCAAATCGACCAATCAGAAACTGGATCGCATTTGACAGCAAATTGGCTCGAAATCGCTATCCAATTGTCAAGTCCCGTCCCTGGATATTTCGAGCTACGATAGCACAGCTTGCAATATCAACCGCAATTGTTTGCTTATTGATTTTTGTCAACGAAAATTAAGCGTGATCTTGTTCTTTGGTGAGATTTGATTTTTTGATATTTTTCCAACACTGATACTGAGTATTAAAAACACATGCTTTATCATGAACAATTGATCACTGATTAGAATGTAACCATGATTGGCAAACTTTATGGTCAGGGATAAATGCTTCACAGTAAACAATATGAGGTGTGTAACAATTGAGTGGTGTGCATAATTGGCAATCTACCCTAAATTGTTTATTTTTGAAACTGAAAATATGTAAACCTGATCCATGTTTTCAACTGCCGGAATTTGACGGCAAGCTATCTTAGGTCGGCATTTCTCACACTGGCGATGTGATCCTGGACGGTGCTTCAGTCATGAAAATAGTGAGAAAGATTTTCACAATACACCATCAATTGTGCCTTGCTCATGTAGGACTGGTAGGACTGGCCGAACTTATCGTGAGCGATGAGCCTAATCGTCGTTGTCTCCATCGTGAAATTCTCGAACGGTTCTTCCACTATTATACGATCAATTACAATGATATCAATATCGTCCGCAAAGCTGCCCAAGCAACACAGAAAACATCTCAATTCTTTTATTTTTCTTTTTAAGTTGCCTAGAAATCCCTTAAATGGTACAGGAAATACATCTTGATACGACAAAGTTTCAACTTTGTTGCTTCATTTACTTTAGGTCACAATAATGAATCTCAACTGTTTCAATGTACTGCTTGGATGACCTGTCAAATCATGCCTCAAATAGGAGGAGCAAACATGTTACACTCAAATTGGTATGAAGTTATATGCTACGTGATATTGTATGAAACACTTGAGCAACAAATCTAACTTGTGTTGTGTTTGTTGAATGAGACTTCCATAAAACATTATGTTTCTTAAAACATTTAGTGCAACAGAGTGTGAACTATATGTTTTTTGTACCTATTGAGCAACTGTATTGAAATGTTTCTAAAAAGTTAACGAACCAAGATGAGTTGAAGAACCTATTTGCAATCTTGTTCCAATTAAGCGTATGAATACATAAGTTTTCAAACTTCGTTTTGCAACCAGCTGAATCAAGTTGTCACTGTAAAGGTTTGTTGTAACCATCTAGTATCTACCATGGCTCAAATATGTCTTGTCACTTTGATGTTGTAAAATATTTTTGGACAACATTGGCAGAAGCGGAGAAATCGTAATGTATGTGCTAACATCTGCATAAGAAATCGAAGACCACGATGAGGACGATAGGATTACGGATGGCGGGGGACGATAGTAACTAAAGACGATGCCTACAGTGGCCGTAGTCTCTCAACCAACCGGGTGTTCCAAAGGGCTAAATAGAACGGTGAGAAGCCTGAGGTGACGATGAATTGGTTGTTGCATGAGCTGGGGGCAGCAAATATATTGATACCGCCGAACGGAGATGCTGGCGAACTGGAAACGGCACCAAATAGCGGGTGGATTGCCAGAACTAGTGGCTTATAATGCCGAAAACTGATGACTGCTGGCGGAGGAGCTGCACCGATCAGCGTTACCAGAATGTTTTAAAGCTTATCGGTATCAAAGGTATTAAAAAATCGGTATTTATCGGTATTTACTATTTATTTAATTTTATATTTTTGCCGTTTCTGAAAGCGAAAATTTTAACGATGGTGACGACGGGGATTTGAGGGGAATTGCTTGACGGCTTTCTCAGTCTTAAAACATTCTTTATTTTTTTAATTTAATTTTTAAAGTGATGATCAAAATTGTGACCAAGTAGTGTTTTTTTTCAATTAAATATCTTGAAATGAATCCAAAATATGGAAACAACAACGACTAAACTATAGGCGATAACGACAAACAATATTTTCCCTAGAATTAAGCCACAACCCATGGCCGAAATGTCGGGCAGATTACATCGTAGTCATTGAAATGTTTTAAGACTGAGAAAGCCGTCAATCAAAGCGAAATTTTAGCTTTTGAACAATGATCGGAACATTCTGAAAAAAACATCAAGAGAAAGACGAAAGAAGCACTCATGGATGAAGATCGAGAAAAGTTGGAAAACATTCGGGAAACTTCAAAGACACGAATTGAGAAACTTATGGCGAAAATTTAAATAAACTATCGGAAAAAAAAATCAGATGTCACATGTGGCAGAAAAGTTTCGGAGAACGGAAGTAAATTTCCAGAAGTAGCTATTTCCAGGGAAAGCCAGAAGAAGCTCGCAAAAATCTTCCAATAGAAGTCGAAAAAAAAAAAAACCTTTGGCTTATGGTCAAACTTCCAGAAGCAGACGAAATAAATTTCTGGGAGAATGAATTGAACTTCCTGGAGAAGACGAAAGAAACTTCCTGGAGACGCTGGCAGAAACTTCCTAAGGTAGATTGGAAGAAACATCTGAAGAAAGTCGGAAGCCAGAGCG